CGTAATCTGGTATTGAAATACTCATAACGAGTTTCACTGGGGTTACTTACTGAGGGTATCGTGGAAGCTCATCACGCCACCCAGCTTGTTCTGAATCGAATTTCGGCCGGTGCTCGCAATTAGGCGCGATAAATGCCCCGACATTCGATACATCGGCTTTTCGATTAATCGGTCGAATTGAAAATGAAATCCGATTTTAACAGGCCCTACTCTTTTTGGTCGTTTAAGTAACACCTCTCGCTTTATTTCGAGATTATCTTAGCTTGTTTTCAAAGTAATTTACATAATAGAATCGATTAATCTTACCTCAATCAATATTTTATGATGTGTGGATCGTTTTTATAAGAAATATGTGCGAATAATTAAACATTAAGGAAATTGATAAACTACTAGATACTTAATGAACAAATCTCATATATGTTTATTTCCGTATAACTAACCCGTATATTTGTTAACACGATTGATCTATAAATTACTGAAATCGTTTTTTGGTATGTTGACAATGGCCCGCATTTGTAAGAACCAGCTACATATCAATTATTTTGACACCAATAACTATTAGGTCGTTTACCAATTACTTTGTGTTAAGTTTTATGACTTATTTTTTAATATGTTTTTACGACAGCACTGAGCATTTTAATGCGATTTTTTTCATAAATTTATATTTATGGGATTCAATATTAAAATTAGAAACATTTCAAGTTTACCATGAACAATAGGTACTTCATTATAATTGGACGGGTGCATCTGTTTCATTTGACAGACACAATGCCACAAATATGTACATTACATCAAGTATCACGTTTCTGAGTGACAAACTCCACCTTTTTATAATATCTTACGGCAGTCGATCTAAACGTTAGAAGAAAGAGAACGAGCTATTATAAACAATAAGAAAACTTTTGGGCATTACAAGGCGACAAAACTATAATATCTGTACGAAACAATGGGAACAATAGTTGCCCTCTGTCAATTATGCGATCATTAACATTGGAATAAACTACGTAACGGATCAGATCGTCGGTCCTCGAAAAACAACACGATGACAACGCACCGCGGTACTCTCATGACGAAATAAATACAAACAAAAATAAATCTTATGTCAAAAGGGAAGACATCCAATTTTAACGATAGTCCCGTGAATGATCGTGCATATTTAGAAACGTCGANTGCCCTCTGTCAATTATGCGATCATTAACATTGGAATAAACTACGTAACGGATCAGATCGTCGGTCCTCGAAAAACAACACGATGACAACGCACCGCGGTACTCTCATGACGAAATAAATACAAACAAAAATAAATCTTATGTCAAAAGGGAAGACATCCAATTTTAACGATAGTCCCGTGAATGATCGTGCATATTTAGAAACGTCGAAACAGTTACCCTATAAATGATTTATAGACTGCGGCGGCGCCTTCTTCATTTTTGTCACTTGACTATGTGGCGAAGTATCTGCATAATTAATAATCGTAGTCAGTTATCATATTCAAATGTCTGTAGGCATTAATTTACTATTTAATGAACATTAAATGATATAGGTGTTTTATAATCGCGTTCTTTTCTGTTGTGATTTAACAACACGAAATTTATATTTTAATTTTACTCTACAAATATAATGCTACTATTCTGTAACTGGTGAAAGCTGCTGAAGATAAGCTACATAACAAATCCATGTTCGAAACCCTATAAATTCAATTCGAATTAGTTTCCAGAACATTTTCGTTTGATATTTGATACTGCGACAAACTGTGACTCATTGTGATAGGGTTAATTCTTCGGAATATTTAAATAAGTCGATTATAGTATTTAAATTTATGATATAAATATAGACCATATTTATAAGCTTTGCATAAAAACCAAACAAGCCATAAAGCTTAATTCGACACACTTATAACTTAATTTTTTGTTTCAATATTTGCTGGGATCACATCATAATTTTGCATATCTCGATCGCTATCGTATGAATACTAAAAACGTTTCTGTCAATTAATTTTGTTTCGTAGTCAGTAGCCGCAAGACATATAATGATTTAACGTGCTCAAAGGTCGTATTTGCGATAATTTTAAACTCGCATTTGTTTAAAAATGATGGAGGTGTCTGAAGGTGGTATTCGTTTTGTCGACACGCGATCTCGCGATAAGTCCCAAGCTTGCCACTTGTAATTTGATGGGAGGTCCCTTTAAAGTCTCAGTTTCATTAATTTTTTTTGGTCTTTAATCTCGTTGAATTGCATAAGAAATTGATTTAAATTCCTTTGGTATTGGGTTAGTAATTAATTGTGTCGATAGTTAAAATAAACATTCTTACCATAAAATGAACAATAATATTCCTTGATTTGATAGAATAAGTAATAGACGACAATGAAACCCTGTAACTTTTAACCATATACGAGAGATGAATTTTTTATTCCTTCGCGGTTTGGGCATATAGTTTTTTAAATTAGGATTTTATATATTTTGTGTTCTTATTATTTATTTTGAAGCTTTGACTAGTTTCAGTAAGCACGAGAAAAAAGCAAATTCGTTCTGGTGGTAACATGTCAAAACTTTTCCAGCCATGTTTTTTAATCCTCTGGTGTTTTCAAATGTGGGTACATCGTAAAAATGACACACATTTATTGCATTGTACGACACATGTAAGTAATGCCTTGTCGTGTTGTATGGGTTTTGTCAGCATGCAATCAATGATTTATTTAACTTCATTGTTGATAATTTTATTAACGACGGTCGCGTGAACGAATGCTAATTGCTATCGTTATGTGAGACGGTCGATGAAAACCTTGACGAAGTCGTAAGTGGGGTATTTTTGTTAACTCCACGTAGTGATACATTATTAAGTTTGATTAAGCAATATCAAAATGCTTAGTAGTGTGTTTATTGATTTTGGATAACAGGTTAAAGAAATTAGAACCATTAAGAACAGAGTAAAGAAAAAGCGTAAGCAATACGTTGACAATGTTAAGTGAAATTGTCTAATAAATATACAATAATATTATTTGAATAAAACAATAATGTTGAGATTCATTGTTTTGTTGGCGTTATTCAAAAGTCCTGCGAGGTCGGTGCTGTACTGTAGGTGCGTGCAGATTCCACTTGTGATTGAGAGTTACGATTGTCATTAATATCGTAATGGACTCGATTTATGGCCGAGGATCATCCCATTGGTTTTATTGTTGAACTCATGCTGTATTTATTGGATCCTGCTTACATATCCGAATTATCGGAGTCTATGTTGTTGATCAATTTGTGTTTTACTTTTGAAATTCACAATGACAAAATTATTGATGTTTATAGTACACTTGTACAATGATAAGTTTAGGAGTTCATTGGTTGATTTTTCATGTTAATTGCTGAAATGTGCAGACGAAACTCACGGCGCCTGGTTAGGATAATTAATAAAATAAATTTGATTAAAATAAATTGGGTAATTGAGTAGTAAACTAGATTTCTAAACTTAGTAGCGACTATAGCTCAACGTACCATTTGGATATAATTTCGATTAATAGCTGGGACAAAGCTTTTGTCATTAAGATTCTCAGCTGTAAAATGATCTAAAATATAGAGTAAAAATATCAGTATTGAAACATTGTGTCTCTTGTATTATGAATTCTTTGCCTGTTTTGTTCCTAGTTATAGCTGCTGCGTAGCAGTTATGGACTTTGGTTAGTAGGGTTAGCTAGGAGGGTCCGATTGTGGCTTTTACTTCATTTCCACTACATGAATATGTTTGGTTGTCCACCAAACTTGGTTGACTTTGGTAGTCACTGTAACTTCTTCTAACCCACTTTGACTATGAATTCTTTTTTGTTTTTAAAAATGAACTGAAATGGAAATCCACATTGTTGTATGTCACCGCAGAACAATAAGTTTCTTAAATGTGGGAGTTATTTTTGACGAACTCGAACGTATTACTTTGTGTAGCACCGCATTTTTAACATTGATTTCGCGGTTCAAATAAGATCTTTTGTCCCGGTCTCCGTTTTATTTGTTACGCCGCCGCGTCGCTGTAATGTTAATTGAAAATCGCGGTGAACCCTCTCGTTGCCCACGGTGTTCTAATGTACTGGTCGAAAGACTAACCATGTCGTGGAAATTTTACGTGGCAAATCTGTGCTTCGCCGTATCACTTCAATCATCGACCTCACGTCCTAAGGTGAGACATGGAGTTTATGTCTTTGTGGCCTCTGGTACATTAGGGCCGAGATTTCGTTCGCCCATCTAGAGCGAAAAGAATTATGCGGTCCATATCAGTCAATTAATTGTACATGTATATCTTAAGAACGCTTTGTAGTTGTTATGTATTCGTGTTAAGGTATTAGCGTTACCTCACAAGTTTATTTAAATAAATTCTTTCTTAATTTATTAAGGCCACCAGCGTATCCAAATTGAAAATTAACCCCACTTAGAAACGCCTCCTGGCGCTTCATATTTTTGCTTTTTTTCACATCGTGTCAACACCCGTCGATAAATTATTGCCACTCGAACAACGAACCTATTATTATGGTACCTGACATTTTGTATTAAGAATTTTGAGCGAAAAGGAAAATTTCACCCAAAATTTTGGCCTGCGGTGCAACAGGAATTGGTTTTTGAGATTTATGTTGTGTACGTACGAAACGATTTTGTTGTAGATTCTAACGTCTACTTTTTGTGTTGCTCCTAAAGTTCACAAATATGTCTAATAATGTATGCTACCTTCAAATATAAACGTAAATAGAAATAAATTAAGATGGTTTACTAAATTTGACATTCAGTTATATGGTGTTAGTGTAAAAGTGGATCCCGTCAGGTGGCCCTTGAACACAAAGTTCATTGGCACCGGTCAGGTGGGGCCAGCGAATGATTGATCTACTCCCTTATCATTGTGCTGTCGCCTACATGCGGCTTTCTCAAAGACATCATTGTGTATGACCAGAGACGCGTGTGCCGTTGGCAATATACCTTCTGTAATATTAACTAATTAATCATTTATTTTATCATATTTTATTTGTTTCAGAGTCAACAAGTTCAAAAATCACAGGTGAAAAAAATGTAAGTGAATCCGAGATTTTAAGTTTGTTTTAAAATCGTTTCTTATACTGACTTGTTTGGACTGCGGAAAGCGGACATTCTCGATTTTTTAGTATATTCTTTGATTGATTTTTTATAATATTATTAAAATACTAAGATAATCTAAATACGTAAATGATTTGATTCGGGAATTTTGTGCCGACCTGTAGACAGTTTGTCGTCAGGTTCAACCGCCCGCACCTTTACGAAATATTAAGTAGTATTTTAAAATGCGAGGCGCTAGTCACGTCACAAGACTAAAGACATCTTCGATGATGATTTTTATTTGAACTGTGACAATTCGGAAATGTCAGCGTTTGGTTTCATGTGGACTGCTGAATACACTATATAAGTACACAGTGTATTTCACAATTCATTCAGATTTAGTTAAAACAAATAGCTGGAAAGGAAAAAACGAAAATCAATTATGTAATACGAAAAACTACACCCATAGAAGAAATTCTCACCCTCAGAATCACATCATGGACATAAATTATTATTGTCTTATTAAATATTTTTATGTGTTTAGAGTTTATATTAACATGTGAAAAATCGATTGTATTTATTTCATTATTTTAGTTATGCTAATTATTTTTGAAACAGTAAACACGCTGGCGCCGCATCTGGTTTAGAAAGTTCTAGTTTTATTTAAACTGTTCTGTTGAAAGACGGTTTTCCCATAGCTATTTGTTTAACGCCAACGGGTACACTGTTTTCTGTAATTGGATACAGTTTTTACACCTACGTTCTGAATTTAGGCAGTATAAAAGTTGGGCACGTGATTTGGATTAGGTGTTTATTGCCACGTTTTATTATGTTTTAAAAGATCTCTTTTAATTTAATTTGTGCTTTTTAAATATTTTGTCCCTTTAGATTTATTATGACTTCATTATTTTTCTTTCCTAGATGGGACATTCCGGCGCTTCTAGAGGCGATACCCAAACTCGGTGCAGTCATAGATTTGACAAATACCGATAAATATTATAAACCTGAGGTAAGTGTTCGACTTGGAAATGTTATTGTGTTAAGTTCTGGCTTTATAAAATTTACGAGTATTGCGTAGTATTAGTGTGTTAGCAATGTGCGAAACAGCCACAGATCGTGAATATCGACTCAAAGTATGAACATTCCTTCTTAGGTTATTGTTGGCGTAATGAAAGGTATATGAGCCCGTAGTTATGTTTGTGTGTAATACACTGACAATACGGGATGGTCCTCCTCCGTTTTGCATCAAATATGCTTTCTTACGTTGCTCACGAATGAAAAAGTTTGGCATAACGGGTTCACTGTTTTTAAGAAAAGTACCATGTCGGGTCACAAGTCTGAGAAATTAACGTTGCGATTGTTTTTTTTCTGTTAAATCCAGTCCATTCTAGATTGAATATTAAATAACCTGACAACAATAATTTATAATTTCGTAATCGCTATATCGCCTGAATTGAACCGCAAAACATTTGCTGTCGGACTAACAATGTTTTTCCTTTTCGGTACTGCTTTGGTAGTTCACACATACTTAGGTACACTAGGTCTTATAGTTGCTAATCTTTACGGACTGGTATTGCCCATTGCATCTTCTCTGGTGGGCTGTCAATTATTTATTTATATTTATTTCTTGGTATTTAATAGCATCCGCTTGGTTTTTTGTGAAAAAAATCCTTTTTCCACTTACACTACGAAACACGAAATTAAAATCGTGCTCTCAATATTTTATAAAACCTTTGTATATCATTTGACAGCCCAGTTGACATTCGGTTACCAGAAGCCATAGAGATCAGAACGTAAATGTTGCAAACATTTTGAGACAAATTCTGATTCATTAATGTATGGTTTCGGTAAATAGAACCATAGTCATCAGCATTGAAGGTAGTAATCAGGAATCATGAGGATAGGTAAGGACTACCACCAAACCGCAACAACTTTTTACTGGTGGTAGGACCTCTTATGAGTCCGCACGGTTAGGTACCACCACCCTGCCTATTTCTGCCATGCAGTAATGCGTTTCGGTTTGAAAGGTGGGGTAGCCGTTGTAACTATACTGAGACCTTAGAACTTATATCTCAAGATGGGTGGCACATTTACGTTGTAGATGTCTATGGGCTCCAGTAACCACTTAACGCCAGGTGGGCTGTGAGCTCGTTCACGCATCTAAGCAATAAAAATAAAAACAACAGAGGATGGGATTTCTATTATCTAAAAATCGGATAGACTAATATCATGTACGTACTTGAGACCTATTGGGATCTTCGTGACAGAAGTTCTGTATTAATGGATAGAAATACACAAAACTAACCGAAGACGCTGAAGTTCAAAGAGTTGCGCTATTTTTATTACAGTGATGTGAATGAAAGATGCAATAAGATTTATAAGTCGACCTTCGCACAATTCAACTGGTAACTAATAGAGAAGAGTTGAAGAACGATTCCTTTTGAAACCACCAAATTTTGTACTTTTAAATTAGAAAAAATTGACATTGCCAACCCTAGTTATGCAAAATTAACATGTCAGAACTAAGCGTAACAATAGTTCGCTTGATGTTTGTTAAAATATTTAAAAAAATAGCATTATCGCTTACGGTTACGAACAAAATTGTTAAAGTAAAGTATTCACTGGTGGTAGGACCTCTTGTGAGTCCGCACGGGTAGGTACCACCGCCCTGCCTATTTCTGCCGTGAAGCAGTAATGCGTTTCGGTTTGAAGGGTGGGGTAGCCGTTGTAACTATACTGAGACCTTAGAACTTATATCTCAAGGTGGGTGGCGCATTTACGTTGTAGATGTCTATGGGTTCCAGTAACCACTTAACACCAGGTGGGCTGTGAGTTCGTCTACCCATCTAAGCAATAAAAAAAAAGTAAGACGCTTTGAAAGAAACTAATGATTACAGGCTCAGTCGAGTGAGAATTGGATTGATTGCTCGAGTTTGACGAATTTAGTATATGATTGGACTGAAAGTTATTGCATATTTCATTGCATGATTCCTTATTGTTTTTATATCCTTGGTGCAAATATTATTTATTTAATTCATGCCTACAAATATTGTTACAGGATGTAAAGGCTGCAGGTATTTTACATAAAAAAATCATAATGCCCGGTCGAATTTTGCCACCCGAAAACAAAGTGAAAGAGTAAGTTTATTATTTTATTAATGTAAAATATATAATATAACATCGAACAAATTTTGTTAGAAAAATCGTACGATCAAAGCAATTGAATTGACCGTTGCTAAACAAAAATTCAAGCTAATAAAACATTTAAATTTTGGAATGTTAACAAGACTGAGCTTGTTGTATCAACCTACAGACACACTAAACATTATTTGATTTATCGACCGTATAATTACTGAAAGGAGACGGCTTTAACAAGTTTACACCCCCTTATACGGTGTCGCGTAAATCAGAAACCGAACAGCTATCTATCAACCAAGCGTGTTATCGTTTTGCATTCGCGGCGGATTTTAATTTGAAGCGTCGAATTGGCGCCATTCGTAGGCCGAATATGGGTAATGTTATAAATCTACGCGGTGGATGCGTGGGAGGCCGCGGCGCGCGCCTTAGTGCCGCGGCTGCTTCGACCGGTGCCACTAGGTACCTATTCTTGTATTCAATTGAACTTGGTCACATCCAGCGCTCGTGTCGACGGCGGCGTCTGCCTCCCACGCGTCACGATGCCTTTCGGAATTTGAAAGGTATTTGTCGCTGCTCCGATGCGTGTCGTCTCACGTCCAACAGCTGTCCCTTTGACTAAAACAAACTTTTTATTAGATCGTAAATTTTATGCTAATGAACAGTTTAATAATACTAATACCATTCGTACTCATCGACTGTAAATAAACAGAGCTCTTAAGCAGATCNGCGTCTGCCTCCCACGCGTCACGATGCCTTTCGGAATTTGAAAGGTATTTGTCGCTGCTCCGATGCGTGTCGTCTCACGTCCAACAGCTGTCCCTTTGACTAAAACAAACTTTTTATTAGATCGTAAATTTTATGCTAATGAACAGTTTAATAATACTAATACCATTCGTACTCATCGACTGTAAATAAACAGAGCTCTAAAGCAGATCAATATTTCAATGAGTTTACAATAGAAATGGTTGGGTATTGCGAAATCTAAAAAATCCTAATCTAGTGCGCCAATCGAGTGTTCTGTAGGTTTTCGTAGCGTAGCTTACTGTTATTGTTTGTAGAATGAAGCATTTAGCGGTAGCAGCACATTTTGTGAGTTCGGACGCATAAGTCCTGTCCTGTCCATGTCCATTTCTGCCGCGAAACACTTATGTGTTTAAAAAAATAGAGCGGCCATCATTCAAATGCATTTGAGATCAGAAGTACGTAAGGCCTTTTGCGAAAAAAGGGCATTAGTTTTTATTAAACCAGATCGTTTGGAACCCCTGGGTCGGTCTACGGTCGGTTCTCTCTGTTTTGTGTGTTTCATAGGGAGTGTTCTGAGTAATTGTTTGAGATAATGCTATCATCTCGTTTTGATCATCGCACTGCGTTACTGCATCACCGGATAAGAATTCATTCTTATGGTAATATTACCTAAAACCCCGACGTCCATTCAGAGTCGGTCCGACTATGGACTTCCCAAACTACTATATTTTTTCAGCGCTATGACATCTCCTTCCTTAAATCCGGTTTGTGGAGAGTATTCAGCGACAACCAACTTAGCTTTGCCTCTGGCATTGCTGACGCTCATGAGTGGTGGTAAACACTCACAACCAGGTGGACCATATGTTAATGTTCTTGGAATCTATTTTTAGGAAATTGTTTTTTTTATAATTTTTGTACACGGGTGGGTATCTTCAAACTCAATTTTTGATGCTGATGAGAAAAAGAGCTTACGTCTCAGTTGTTATTAAGTGGTGGCGGTGGTGGTGACACCGGCGGACTATGCATAGACAAGCTGCTGTCATAAAAATATAAGATGCGTTACAAATTAGACACTGGATTTTACTTTCTGGACATGTACATTTCCTTTACGTAAATAGAGTCAGTTACGTATTTAGAGCTTCTGTCTTTGTGTTATATCATAATGTAAGTCTTTCTTCGTAGCTTCCAGTTTTTTTTTCAATTTTTCTACGAAAATCACCACATTTTTGCTATCTTCGGTGCCAATTAATAATTAGTACACATACTTTTCAAATTTCATCAAGTGTATTCGAGTTAAACTGTTGTGGCATACCCGCAGAGAGTCAGAACTGATGAAATTATTAAGGTCTTAAAGCAGCTGGCCAAGGAACCCTAAAAATAATGAGAACGTCAACGTTCCACAAACTGTTTGAACAGAAATGATTTGAAGCTGGCTTCAACTGAAAGATTATCTCGCTCATTTGTCTGGTCTTTTGTTGGGCGCTGCGCCCCGTCGTCGACATAAATAACCATCGGTATTTCTCAGATAGTTCGCTCCTGTTATCGAACGAGAGGGTCTCGCATCTGTTTGTCAGTTAAGGTTAGACAAAATGTGCCACCCGTGCTGTTACATCGAAACAAACGATGCCTTAATGATAGGTTTGTGATTAATAATTTGAGTTCTGTGATTAAAAAAACAATTTTAGTATACTAATTTTCTTTTGTACGCCATAGATTGTAAAAAACTGAATCAAACTATGTTATTTTTATGATAATTTGTTTTATATGTCAATCAATGTGATTTAAAATACCACATATGTATGTAAATGGACTACACGGTAAGAATTGTCGTTAAAGACCTGACCTTTTCGAAACCGGACCGAGCTGATCAATCGCAAGATCGTTATGACGCTCGCGTGCCTCGTCTCCTCGTTCATTTATCACGGCTAGTATTTTTACTTGTTTCACATGTCCACTGTCGACAATCATGTCGTCATTACAAACCTGCTCGTGTACATATCACCCCGTCTATAAATCGTGGACATCGCCGGTGGTACGATTTGTACGAAACGACAGTTTTCCACGTTATTCTAAAGGATTTCGATAGTAAATTTTTGTTGACAATGCGCTTGTTTAATCGCGGCTCGAGTTTGTAATACGAGTGAAAATTAAGAATGATCTAAGTACTACCGGTTAAAGTCATCGCTTGGTCCAATATTGATACATCGGATTCTATGTCATGTACACATGTTAAATCCGCTTTTAAGCTTTTTTCGTCTTTGTTTTTTGTTTGTGATTATATTAGCGCATGATTGAGACTTATAACGAGACAATTTGACATCGTATTAAGTCATTTCTTATTTTTGGGTGGTTCACTCACGTTGTATCAATTTATTATTTTAATTTGCGAAGCTTTTACATGCGAAACTAAATGCCACATAACCATAGACATTGTTTACATATATCGTTTGTTAATATGCAATGTAAACATTTAATACAGAGAATATTACTAATATACACCTTTACCAATAATTCGGGTCTTTGAAGAAAACTAGTTTTAATGATTCAAAATTCAAAAAATAAAGGAGTGTTACTTTACGAGCCGTGAAGCTGTTTTATCGCACTGTAGGTGTTAAAAGTAAGTTATCACGTTGTTGACTGTTTGTCTAGTAAGAGTCCAGCGTAAATCAGAGTAAGTAAGATAGGAGACTTCCGAGCGTGATAACAAACACATAAATATGGCCACCGCCGGCCATTGTCAAAATTTAGTAACTTAGCTGGTCTCCCGTGTGTGAAGATATATTCTTTTTGTTAGTTTCAACCAAAAACTCTTAACTAATAATTTGTTTTTGCTATTGATTAGCCCTCGGAACAATTACGCTTTTAAATGTAATTGACTTATCTGATGCATACGTTCTGGTAGTACAGTTTATATGCTGTTATGTTAACGTCTTAACAATGGAACTGTCAAAATATGTTACAGATGTCTTACTTAAGTTACGTTCAAATTAAATATTGATTATTAAATCTTTTTTTACTGATTTTATTTGTGTCGTGAATCTGGGTGAATAGGCTTCCACCACCCTCTCATTTGTTGTAGTTGTGAAGCAATCACGCGTAACATAAAAACAATCGTTTTTTCAGGTAGTTTACTGGTGGGAGAACCTCTTGTGAGTCCGCACGGGTAGGTACCACCACCCCGCCTATTTCTGCCGTCAAGCAGTAATGCGTTTCGATTTGAAGGGAGGGCAGCCATTGTAACTATACTGATGACTAAGAACTCATATCTTAAGGTGGGTGGCGCATTTACGTTGTAGATGTCCTCCAGAAACCACTTAACATCAGGTGGGCTGTGAGCTCGTTCACCCACCTAAGCAATAAAAAAATAATAGTAATAAGACTTTTCCTTTAAATTTCAAGATGGGAGACGTGACGTCATTCTATTGGTATTATAAGGTTCCGGTAATGGCTGATTCGAAAGCTTCAAGATAAAAAATAATCTGATCTCGATGATGAAAAGAGTTGTCGAATTCCTATAATGCCTATCATGATAATAATAACACGTATTATTACTTGTTGTTACAACATTTCATTGAACATAATGACCGATATAAATGTCGACAATGTTATATTTTCTTATATTACAGTGTACGTATATAATTTCTTGTTTTCGGACCACACAGGCATTGGTAATTGAGACATCTCCCCCTCACAGGTATTATTACGTCTAGTTGTTCTATCATTATGCCTACTTCAGTCGGCGTTGTGATGTTGAAACGCGGATCGATTTCGATTAATAGTTTATGAAATTTAGTACATGATTGCTTTTATTCTTGTACTCTTTTTCGATTGTAAATAACTTTGAGATTTGGTAACAGTTTTAATTAACGCAGAGTAAAGAATTGTTGGTGTTAAGTGGTGGTATGTTTACAAATCGTTTAGGGTATTGTAATCCCAAAACGCGACGATCGTTGCCACTAACCTGCTTATTTCAGCCCTGAAGCAGTCGAACGTTCTGGTTTGATGTATAGTACTGCTGTTTCATAATGTATCTGAGATTTCGACCTCATATCTCAAGGTGGAGGCGGCATTCCCGATGCAATGTCTAAGGGCGCCCCGTAAACACTTTACAATATGTGGGTCGTGATCTCGTTCACTGAATTAAGCAAAAAAGGTACATTTTTATTGATTATTTTATTTTTATTTATTCCCGTTCAATGTTCAACTGATGATTCTATCTGTTAATTCGTTTTGATGTTATTACAACGAAATATTAC